TGCATCATTTTCTCATTCTTCTGTTTACAATGGCCCTGAGGGATATTTTCTGTCATTTTGTAAATGAAGCTATCAGGGAATACAGAGATTAGGCAATTTACCTAGGGCACACATCTAGAAAGTGTCAGAGCTACTGTTTACATATTCTGGACTGTCGGATGCAGAGCCCACTTTATCAGTCACTACCATGCTTCCTTTTTAGGCAGATTCCAGGCTTTAAAATCCTTCCTAACAGTGCTTCCAAATAGCAGAATTTCATTTATGGCAGAAGTTGGCATACCACGTCCCTGAGACCAAATCTGTCTTTTTGTATTATAGCCTAAGTCACCTGTTTGTGTCTGTGGCTGCCTTGTCGGGGTGGGGCAGTGGGGCAGTGTCACTGTCGAGTAGTTATGACAGGTGCCATATGTCCTGCAAAGCTGAAACTATTCCAGCTCTTGACAGGTCAGGTTTGCTAGCTCTTGCTTTATGGCAAGATTGGAATTTCTTTTTCAGAGTAGCAAGGAAACTATTGAAAAGCAAAGCAAACCAACAGCACAGATCAGAAATATGCTGTAAAGAGTGTTTGGATCATTTCAGCCACAGACTTTCACATGTACCATACCTCCCAAGTCAGCATCATTGGTCCCCATTCAGAGAACATGGCTGCATTCTCTTTCTTGTCCTCTTTGATTTTGTTTGATCTCTCATTCTCCTTTCTTTCCTTCTGTCCTCTCTAGCCTATCATTGATGGCTACCGAAATAAGTCCACCTTCTCTGTGAACCGGGGCCCGGATGGCAATCCAAAGACTGTGGGCTACTACCAAGGAACTTGGAGAGGTCAGTTGAAAACAAAACAAAGCAGACAAAAATACAAACCAGTGATGGAGAAGGATACGGTGGGCACAGATAACAGTGTCAATAGGCGTGGAATACACAAAGACCTGAAAGAAAGCTGACTGTGATGCAGCTTATGATAGCAAGGTTGATCTGGGTTAATTCCTGATGATTATAACAGTGATAGTTCTCACTGCCTTTGCCAATTCTTCCTCTAAATGCAATTTAGCAGATAACCCAGTGAGGGCTTAAAGTAATGTTTCTGTCATCACTGCTGCCACCTCCTTATTGTCATTGTAATCTTTATTTTTGCTCCTGGCCATATTGGGAGCAGTGCCCTCATTGTTTGTGAGTCACTATCAGTCCCCATCCTCATAGTCCTCAAAACTAAATCTTTCTCTGCTGAATCCATCTTCAAAGAATTGGCAGGGAGAGGGGGTACACGTGAGGGAAATCACAATGGCATCGTCTGAAACTCAGTTCCTGCATCCGTTCCCAGATTCCATTCCTGAGCTTTTTATTTCCCCGTTTTCAATAAATCAACTCGAAGAACCTTCATTGGATTTTAGTCACACTGTTAGTCACATATCCATGTGCCTTGAGCGACAGTTCTTTAGGGCAAGCAATGCACTTGACTTTTCCCTTCATGTGCTGACTTTATGACGTCAGTGTTCTATGGTGCAGTAATAGAAACACAAAACCAGTTGCATTTTATTTCCATCTTAAAATCTGAACAAGAAGCAGATATCATCACCTGGCACACTCATGGTATGAGAGGATGTGTTTAGGACTAGTTGTGTTAAGAATTAGCTGATGAATGGCTAAATGAGGGAACAATTAGGTTTTCTCTGAAAAAATAGCTATGGACTTGAAGTTGGCCTTTTATTTCTTTGTATCAACATATACCTCTGAAGGGGGGACTTCCAGCTGCTGGGTGAGGATGAAAACCATATAAATAAATAATTTTTTCTTCACGTAGATGGGAATATCGTCTGTGTACCTTGTAGCCATCTGAAAAACATCCCAGAGAAACACAGTCAAGTGGCTCAGGTAAAAATGAACAATAGCTAGTAGAAGATGAAAAGGGGCATTGTAGTCTAACTGCACTGTCCCTGACATTTTAATATGGGGGCCTGCTGTGACTGCTGGAGGGAAGGAGGGAGCTCTGTGCTGAAAGCCTACCTTTTAATGTGGGCAGAGCATTGTCCCGGTTTTGTTCCAGGGACAGGAGAATGTGGGAGGCAGAACTGCTGTTGTTATTGGAAATGTCAAGGGGTCCAAGGACATTAGTAGCAGGGAATAAGCACGAAAAAAGTACTGCTGAGACCATGGTGTTGAGTCAGGTGTTCCAAATATTTGAAAGGTTAATGCTTTCAGCAGAACAAAGAAAGAACAAAGAAATACCTTGAGAGTTGTAGGCATGGCAGTAAGTCATCTATCATGAGATTGAGCTGGGGACATAGCTCAGTGGTAGACTGCTTGTTTAGCATGGATGAAGACCTGGCTTTGATTCCTGGCACCGGAAAAAAAAGCAAATTTCTTGTTGGATTGACCCCTCAGACTTTTTTCAGTCCATTTTTTGGGTTCACTACGGGGTGCCTACTGTGTTTCAGGCAATGTACCTGGAGCAGGGCTACAGTGGCGACTGGGATTAAATGGTGCATGTGTTCACAGATATGAACCTCCAAAAGCTGAACCCTTGCTGAGGATTGAACTAGACTCCCAAATGACTCTCTTCCTCCCCTTCATTCTTACCAGCACCTACCGTTTTAATGATTCTTGCTTCTGACATTGGGGTGCTGATCTTTCGTGGGGCATGTGATAACTTCCAGGACACAGCTGTTTTTATAGACTCGTTTTCCAGAATCCGCATGCCCTTCAGAATCAACTTCTTGTCCTATTTTTGTGGGGGAGTTTTCTATTTTATTACATCTCATCTCTTGTGTGTGTGTGTGTGTGTGTGTGTGTGTGTGTGTGTGTGTGTGTGTGTGTCTGTGTGTGTATGCACATGTTTCCTATGGTACACTTGGGGAGGTCAGAAGACAAGAGTCTCAGGTGTCAAACTCAGGTTGTCAATGTTGGTGCTAAGCACTCTTCCAGTGAGCCATGTCACTGGCCTCTTGTTAGTGATAATTCTAAACTCTTACCTTTCTTTGCATGTTTTAACTGGCGTGTTTTTTTTTTTTTTTTTTTTTTTGGGGGGGGGTTTTTTTTTTTTTCTTGAACTCACAGAGATCTGCCTGCCTCTGCCTCCCGAGTGCTGGGATTAAAGGCGTGAGCCACCAAGGTTTTGGAAGATTATCATAAGAAGCTCTCAGAAGCAAACTTCTTTGGGTGTTTGTTCATCTACCAGTGTCACTGAAATCTGACCATTCTTCTAAGTGAAAGATGTACTTGTTTCCCCTTGTCCTCATCAAAGCTGCTCTTTGTTTTGGACTCACTTTCTGCTCCTTCGGTTCCCTGTCTTCCATTACACACCCCTTCTCCTGTTTCTTCTCATCCTCCTCACGGCTCATTTTACTTCATAGTATGATTAATATTTCTCACCTTTAAGAAATTCTAATAACTCTTATTTATGTCCTGAACACTAGTGAAACTGATATTGCCTGAGCCATCAGTGAACTTGGTTTTCTATCCGTGAACTCAGTTTTGTCAAAGCCCATAGCTTTCTGCCCCTAGCTTACTTTTTTTTCTCTTCCTTTAGCACTGTCTGTCTCATTCTTGTTTCCCTCCTGAAACACTGACTTCTTCATTTAGTTTGTGTTACCATTCTCTGATGGCTTTCGGCCTTTTTTCTAAATATTTTTTTTTATTTGTGTGTGTCTGTCTTGTATGTGCAAGTGCTTGCAAAGGCTCCCTTGGAGCTAGAGTTGTAGGCAGCTGTGAGCTACCTGATGTGGGTGCTGGGAACCGAACTTGGATCTTCTGGAAGAACAAGCTCTCTTAACCTTTTATCCATCTCTCCAACCCCAACTTTCCTCCTATCTGGTTGGCCACTTCTTAGTCTTCCTCCTGGGATTTTAAAAACATTAATTCTCCTTTCCTACTATCATTGTTGGTGTCCCCGAGGACTCTATCCTAGGCCTTCTTCTTTCTGAATATATTCTTGGGAGATAGTACCCAACCTTAACTGGTGCCTTGAATAGCTTCTCAATAAATGGATAGCTGTTGTCTCATATTTACATTCCATTGTCCTCTTAAGCTTGAGGAAGTTCCCAGAGTCTTCTAGGCAGTCTTGGAAAGCCATCAACTGGGGATCTTGGAACCAGATCAGTGTTGTCCTAATCTGGTCTTCTCAACTTCTGTGTTGTTGCTATTTTGTATTGTAGTATTCTTTCTTGTGAGGGGCTGTTAGGTCCATTGTATCATGATTAGCAGTGGCTGTAGTCTGTCATGATTAGCAGTAGCTGTAGCGTCTCATCTATTAGGTACCATTAGTTGGTAATAATCAAAATTGATTCTCCATGGTGAACAGTTTCCTCATTCTGATAACCAGGGTCCTAAATTTTACATATCTCCTTATTTTCCCAAATGTTTCCTCCACAGTTTAGTTATTGCCATTTTAGTGGACTAGAAACCTGTGTCATCTTAGCTCCTGTCTCAGTTCCCCCTTCGTCCTCGACATCTAACCCATGTCCAAGTCCTTAATGGTTTTACTATTCTAGAAATATCTTGAGTCTATCCAGTTCTACACTGTCAGCACTTGAGTTCAAATGACCATTCTCAGTCATCTGGATTAGTACATTAATGTCTGCACTGTCTCCCTGCCTCCAGCCCTTCTCTCAGTGCCTTCTCCACTCAGAGTCCCAGCTGTCTGTAAACTGAAAATAACACAGCGCCATTCTGCTAATAGTTCTACAGTGGTTTCCCAGTCATTTTTTACTTTTTAAAAAAATATGCTGTGTTTGTGTTTGTATGTGTGTGCGTGTGTGCTTGTATACACATTCACACACAGGCCATGCCACATCTGTGGAAATCTGAGGACAACTTACTAAAGTTAATTGTCTCCTTCTACCGTGTAGGTTCCAGGGATCAAGCTCATGTTGCCAGGGTTAGCAGCGAGTGCCTTTATCCGCTTGAGGCACCTTGCCATCCCTGCCCAGTATCTTTTAGAATGGGAGTTTAAATTCTTTACCCATTCACTTTAGCATCTTCATGACAAGGTTCCCAGCCTTATCTCCTGCCCTATGCCTCCCTGCTTTCTTCTTCCCATTTGTACTGAACCCCTGTGACACTGCCATGCTATCTCATTCCTGTCTGCCTGCCCTCTCTTTCTAGAATGTTTTCAGTTTGCAACCTATTCCCACCACCGTCACTGCTATTTATTCTCCAAGATTCACTTCAAGCCTCAGTTCTATAGAAAACTATATCCAACTCCTCAGTCTGATTAAGAATCCCTGTCGCTGCACATGGTTATCTCTACTGTGCATCTCTTGTATAGCACCTGGTACACCATATTTCATTGTCTGTGGGGGCTTCCCACGCTAGCCTGTGGATGTAGCTGCTCTGCATTATCTAACTTTGTATAGCACCAAGTACTGATTCATACACAATGTATGTGAGTTTGGCACATTTGGTGAAGTAATACTTACTGTTTTTCCGTATTCTCACCTACTTTCCATCTATTTTCTTTAGATGATTTTGAAGCACATTGTAGACATATCACATAAAATGTAAACATTGGATATGAGTTCCAGGAGACTGAAGTTATCTATTAAAACTGTAACCTTACACCACCATCCCACCTAAATAAGGACATTTACCCATAATATAAAATACCTGGTATTTAGATTTGACATTAATTTAGCTAGTGTTTTGATTTTTTTCAAGACAGGGTTTCTCTGTGTAATAGCACTGACTGTCCTGGAACTCACTCTGTAGACCAGGCTGGCCTTTGAGTTGTTTATTTTCTGAGCTTAGTTTTTTTCCTTAAAGGATGAAATGCTTTATTTTCTCTTAAAATATCCTGCTGTGTGTGACGGGGCACTGGAGGGATAGCACAGTGGTTAAGAGCATTGACTGCTCCTTCAGAGGACCGGAGTTCAGTTCCTAGCATCCAAATGGCAGCTCACAACTGTCTGTAATTCCAGTTCCAGGGGACTGACACCCATGGCAAAACACCAATATACATAAAATAAAAATAAATAAATTTTAAAAATATCCTGCTATTTCATCTCCCCTTTAACATCCTGTTTTAATGAGTTTCTCTCCAAGACGGAGAGTTGTTTGTTTTGTTTTGTTTTTTCGAGACAGGGTTTCTCTGTAGCTTTGGAGGCTGCCCTGGCCCTCACTCTGTAGACCAGGCTGGCCTCAAACTCACAGAGATCCGCCTGCCTCTGCCTCCTGAGTACTGGGATTAAAGGTGTGCGCCACCAACACCTGGCTCCAAGGTGGAGAGTTTTAGCTCAGGAAATTACTACACAGAAGCACACGTGCTGTGGGTGCATACCTGTTGTCACTGTGCATGTTGAGGCCAGAGGTATATGTTGGGTTGTCTCCTTAATCACACCCCAGTTTATTTTTTGAGACAGATTATTTCACGGAACTTGGAGATCATTTACTTGGCTAGGATGACTGGCCAATCAGCCTGAGAAATCCTGTCTGTGCCCTCCCATTACTCAAGTCAGTGCTGGCATTATAGGTGTCTGCTGCTGCACCCCACTTTTCTGTGGGTGCTGGGGACCCAAACTCTGGTCCTCATGATTGTATGGCAAGCACTTTACTGACTGAGTCATCTCCCTGTCCCTTTGTCTGTTGTTGTCATCTGTTTTAAGACAGGGCCTCCCTATGGAGACCAGGCTGGCTTTGAATTTGGCAAGGTCCTGCATTTGCCTCTTGGGTGCTGAGATTACATTTATGTGCCACCACACCCAAGGGTCTTGTCTGTCCTGTTTCTTATATCCTGTCTTGCTTTCTTGGTTTGCACCTTTGTTCATCTGGAGTACAATCTCCATTAGCTTCTTGAGGAAAAGTATCTCAGACATAATTGTTAAATTTTTACACATCTATATGTTACATCTTTTTCTACCCTGAAATGACTGAAAATGTTT